TCGTAGTATATGATCAGCTCACCAGGCTGCAGTGGAGACACAACATTGTGAGCTAGCACACATAATTCACCCTTAATCCACAAAAAGGGCTTATTAGCAAAACTGCTGCACAAAAGCTACGAACTGTTAACTCTTAAGCCCATATCATAGCCAATAACCAACTTACGACTGTGTAACCTTCTGTGGAATTCATCCCATCCATCCAATCTCTTCCACTCATCTTTATCAGAGTCACAGGGGAAGCCTATCCCAGCTACCACAGAGGCGAGCGGCAGGATACACCCTGGACAGATCACCAGTCTGTCACAGGGCTAACACAGATAACCATTCACACTTATGGGAAATTCACAATCACCAGTTAACCGCACTAACTGCATGTCTTTGGACTGTGGGAGGATGCCAGAGTACCCGGGGAGAACCCACAGACACAGGAAAACATGCAAGCTCCAAACAGAAAGGCCCCGCCCATACAGTGGATTCAAACCCAGGACCTTGTTGCTGTGAGGCAGGGGTGGGGAACTCCAGGCCTCGAGGGCCGGGGTCCAACAGGTGTTAGATATCACCATGGGTCAACACACCTGAATCAAATGACTGGTTCATTACCAGGCCTCTGGAGAACTTCAACACATTTAAATGAGCTGTGTTGGATCGAGGACACCGGCCCGTGAGGTCTGGAGTTCGACACCCCTGCTGTAAGGCGACAGTACTAACCTCCACGCTACCGTGCTGCATTCATTGTTCCTTTGCTTTTTAAAAAATGACCTCATTGTGACAAATGTTTGATTTGTATGAAAACAAAAGTCACAGAGTGCTGTCAGTGTTACAAACCATTAAACAAACACGGTGATCGGACTGATAGACGATTTTATGACCAATACCAATATTTGGTGATTTAAAAAAAAAAGGTGACTATTTTAAATGTGATCTTTTTAAAAACACATAAAACATAAAGAGATATCATTAAAGTTGAGTTATTTATGAGTCCTTATGAAGATAATTTGATAATGAAGTTTAAAAATAATAGGCTACTTGTTGCCAACAGGGAAGTGGCAGACTGCCCCCTGGTGGACGAACAGCAACATTCATAACATGATTGAAGGCTGTTTCTCTTTAACCCTTTAAGACCTACCATAGAACCAAGTCCGCCAGAGCTTATATTATATTTTTACATGCTGTGGAGCCATTTTTGGGAGCATTTCAAGTTGCTATACATCAATACAACCATTACAGCCTAAATTTTAATAATATGTCTGCATTAGGTGCATAGTAATTACATAAATTGCAAAAAAGTGCAATAAACTACAAAAAATTTGAAAATCGTTTTTGTTTTTTTAACATATATTTCTAGTTAGAGAAATTTAAGAGGCTCATCCCTCAAAACTGTAAATACAAAAAAGTTGCACAAACTAGTTTCCCACCACAGGAAATTTATTTTGAGTGTCTTCATAGTTTTATTTTTGAAATACACCAATTTTTATACACTGCAGGAAAAACGAAAATAAATATTATAGTGCAAATTTGCAAAATAACAGCATATGCATCAAAATAAACTATTTCCAGCAGTGCAATATGAGTCCTAAGCATCCCAGAAACGACACAGAAAGTCATAAACTTAAAAATAACTTTTTAAAACACAAGTATAGGCTCATAAGGCCCCGATCGTAAAAAAACTACATTTCCGCAAAATGACGTCACTTCCGGTTTCGGGCAGATCATGCGGTCATGTGATAGTTCGCGCTGATGGACGTAGGAAGTGTTACAAACAGCTGATCGGATCGGCGAAGCGTGTTTCTGGAATATCATGTTTTTGTTGCTGCAAGTGATTTTTATGCAGTTTTTGCAAAGCTATATGTGGAAGGAAACTGTGACCGAGGACAAGCTGATGGCATCAGATGTAAGTACAACTCCTCCGGTTTCATATGCAAAAAAAATTATTGCGCTAGCTTAAGTGGTTGCAGAGCTACCGGGATTTAAAAATAGTTACGCAAAATGGAGCGTGCCCGCTCCGATCGGCTGTAAAGGGTTAAATAGTTGAAAGTAACAGCTGCGCTGTACAAGACAGCAGCCATATCACTGTGAAATGATTTTAAAAAACACAAGCAAACATATTTCCCATGTTTCTTCTAGCGTGCACTGAAATAGCAATATGATTTAATATGTATATGGTTTAATGTGCTCACCTTTGTTTCAGCTGACAGGTGCTTCATCACTTCAACTTTGCACATTTGGCACAAGATAAATATCACCCATCATATCAGCTGATGTCAGTCAAACTATGTCGGCCATACTGATCCACAGTAGTATCTCCTACCACACCACTGCTATACTGTTACGGCTGTGGCCATAAGAACACTGTGTGGGCTGTTTTGTTCTGTGTCTCTTTACTGTGTTTACGACTCTTTACAGGTCCCTCCCCTAATGAAGAGTAGTGAGCAGCTGATTGGACCATGGAACAGGTGACCACGTTCAAAAAGCCGCTCTGACAGCTCCCGAGAGAGAGAGAGAGTGGGGCGAGCGAGTAGCTTGACAGCCGACGCGGTCCTGACCTGGTTTCCCAGCCTAAACTGTTACTGTGCATGTGTGTGAGCGTGATCTGTGAGAGCCGCTCTTGGTGTGTTAACTTAGTGCTTAGGCACTCTTAGGCTGAAGCAGAAGGGGTGAGCCGCCTTTTCTTTGAAACAGTTTTCTCCTGTTGTCCGGGTTAGGGAGCGAGGGTTAGTATTGTCATTTGTTTGTTCTGTTTCTTTCTTAGGGTTTAGTTAGTTTTCTCTGGTGGGACTTAGTTGGTTTTGTTTATTACTTTGGCCTGGGTTCACCCTGGAGCTATGCTTCATTACCTGTAATAAAAATCACCTTTTTTACTCACAACTGGTTTTGGATGTCTGGCTTGGGAACCAGGGCGGGGATTTGTCTCTCTCTCCTCCAACCTTATGTACGTCTCTACACGCCTAGACTAGGGGCGTAACATATACCTCACAGAAGTTCACACTGTCCACTCAAAAGACTACATTAAATGTTAAAACTTTAACATCTGCTACAGTTAGATGATAACCACACACTCGACCAACAGGTACCATCACTGTGATGGTCTTTTATATGCAGTCTGTCATGAAAACACAAGGCTTGGTGTCAGTTCATACAAGATAAATGGCCTCTACCTGTACTATGAAAATCTCACCTTTGACCTGAAGAAGCGAATAACTTGAGCAATGTCAAAGTTTTGGTCTGCACACAGCATGTCTCCAGCAATCTGCTCACACAGAGAAGAAACGCTGAATAGCAGGCCTCGGGATTGTTCAGTGTTATTTAGTCCATTAGCCACGGACAGAGCGATCATACCACCATAATGTCGTCCTGCAGCTTCCGGCTGCGTACGACCAACTCCAGGTCAGCCACGGCCCCGAGGCGATTCTCCAGCGTAGTACTGCCGTCATTTATGATATTTTCCACAGGGAAGTCGGTAGCTGTGGCCCAGCGCTCGTAGTGCTTGTACCTGGTCGGGTTCAGAGAACAGGAGTGGAAGGAAAAGCAAAACTATGGCAAAGTTTCCAAACACCAGCCAATCCGTGCAATCACTGCCACTCACTTATCAGCATTGGTAACCAGATAGACCTCTGTGAACAGCTGGCGCCTGGAGACACAGACAGACACCGTCAGTGAGATGCAGAGGAACATGAAAGCTCTCCGGATCACGTGTGGATCACGCTCACGCACATGTTGACAGTTTCCCACCAAAAGTCAAGGATCTTCTTTCCTCCAATTCCAGGAAGCAAGGCCTTAGGTACCCCGCTCAGGTGGCTGTACAGGCCTGTTTCATCATTCTGGCAGCAAAAGGAAGATTTACTACACAAAAACCACAACCTGCTAACAGCCCCCCCATTCGGCATGAAACATGGCTAAGTCAGTAGGCTAATTATCACCTTTGTAGCAACACATCAACAACATGGGCTATGCTGTGGTAACATCTCTGTGGCTTACGTGGACACTGAACCAATTCAACAAATTCTATCATCACAGGTTTTGTGAAAGCAGCTAAAACTTGGATTACACTAACAGCGCTGCACACTACCTGAACGTTTTTACACCTGTCATTTATTTCACATGAAATACAGAGATTTTCTGCGAGCCCCCCTCTGCTCAAAAGAATCACGTGGACTTGTATACCTGAGGACCAAACAAGGACTGGACGCAGCTCACGTCCTGCTTTGTTGCTTGCATTGGTAAACCGACAGCAGCACTGTTGTACCTGCATTAAACCACTCCAGTCCTTTTTGATCCCATAATGAACTGTCGTGTTCGTATTGTTGCAATTTCTGCTGCAGTCTTTGCAAAATCTCTCTTGAAAATACATTTTTCATGTAAATGACACTTCACTGAAAAAAAGAGCAGAAAAGTTTGTACCTTATGACAGAAAAGTCTTACCAGTTACAGGCGTGTAGTGGACAGCACACACGCAGTGGCCAAACTAGTGAAAATAGGCCATCTCTGTTAGCGTCTCTCACAGTAAAGACGATATTTAAACGCTGAATGTCCCATCATTCCTATATCGCGCACCGCCGCTTTAGAAAAACCCTGCCATGTTATCGTCGTTTTGAAAACATGCGCTGGTTTGTCAGCCGGATTTCCCATTACATGGTTAATATTTCGTAAACGTGCTAAGGGACGTACGAACACTAGCCAGAGTTCAAGCGGCGCCAAAGTGTCAGCTTGTTTCGGGCAGTTCGGCGGCTTCACAACTAACGTGAACTTTGCACTGTTGCTGCTGCAACGTTGAACCGACTCACCTTAATCTGGGCCTCTAACACGGTGCCGTGCCCGGCTACCAGCAGGATACAGATCATCGTAGCCGGTCCCGGAGCTCCTCTGGAACCTTTAAACACTGAGGGTGTGTGTAGGGAATGTCTGCGCTATGTGCTTAAACCTTAGTGTCCACAAAGACGCCCACTTCCGAGCGGGGCCTTCAAAATAAAAGCTTTAGAAAGGAAATGGCTTTTCTAAAGTCTTTTAACCAGTTCATAAGCTTTATTAATCACAGCTGAGAGCGGCTCGTGACATGTAGCATAATATTTGTTTTTATTATAAAGACATACATAACCTACCTACTATGCAATGCCCCCCCCCTCCAATTTATTTAGTTAGTTACATTGTTGCAATGTAATAAATGTCCCCAGTGAGGCTTCATGACACATTAAAAATACAAAGCCAAGAGTCAGACTCTTGGATGACAAACTCATAGCATCGGCTGATCAAAGTGATAAACAATGTGAACATATGAATGAGTGTGTGTGATACACGGACACAGAAAGGAAAGAAAAGTGAGCTTACTGTACTGGAGGCTAACGATAATGAACAATCATAATGTTTGTGCAGGGAGGCGTTAAATGAGGGCTTCGCTAAATCAATATGATGATTGTACTGTAGATAAAAGAATGCTGTAAAAAGCTCGGAAAACAACATTTAAAGATGTCATTTAGCAAAGAAGTTGGATTTGAATATTAATGACAATATTCACTTCCTTCCCCTGTTTCATGCACACTGATCACAAATGAAGTATCTCCAAAGCATTTCAAGTACTCCTTTGGCCCACGTGTTTGATCACTGCAGGGTTCTCACTGAGGCTCTGTGCTGGACGATCCCACAATGCCGTGCTGTCGCAAGAGGTTCCTCAGGATCTGATTCTTGGACTTCCAGTCTTCCACCTGAGCAAGTACACAGCAGAAATGCAGCAGGCATGAATAAACGGCTTACCCTTGCATCTGGAATAAAACACCATGACTTTATGACGACTGTATTTTGATAGGGGTTACAGTGGAAACTAATAAATCATGAGAAAATGGAGCAGTAATTAGATGTATTCACGTCGTCTTAAAGCCTTTCAGAAAGTGCAGCCTGCCATTCTGTTTGATCAAATGAAGTATTATATACAGTTGGAATGGAAGCAGTCCTGGTTCAAACTTCAGGTGAATGTTACAAAGCAGCTACAAGTTACTGGGGCGCTGGGCAGCTTTAGTCTTGAAGCAGACACACCTCCTGTCTCAGTAGCTGGTTGTCAACTCTTAGACGATCCAGAACGCCAACGTCCTCCCCAAGCTTCAGGTTGCTCTGTCGCAGCTCTTTTATGTACTCGCAGGCTTTGGACAAGATCCCCCCTTTACTCTGAAACAGGAGTTACGATAAAGCTTCAGCGTCTACTCAAATGGGCTGGAAGCCACCGTGTACCTGAACGCTCACCTGTCCCGTCTTGGTGTAGTCGACGTTACAGTCTGGAATGGCCTTTGACAGCTGCACGATCCAGTTGTTGATCTTGTCCCGGCGCCTCCGCTCAACTGTCGGTGAAACATTTCGCTTATTTACACTGTCACAACAGCCAGATCAAGCTCCCGCTGCATATCTGCGCTCACCTTCGTTGTGCTGGGCTCGCCGTTTCTCATCTCTGGAGGCCCGTGGAGCGTCCTGCTTCCTAGAAAACACGTAACAACAAAGATACTGAGCTGCTTCAGCTAACTGGGAAGTTAAATATCAAGTGCTGTAATTCTGGAGACGTGAGATGGAATTACGCAATGTACGGCTGAGTTCGAGGTGCAATTGTCCTTTGATTGGACCCCGTCAAAACCTCCTGTGGTGACATCATCACATAAAGCTGTCCTGTAAATCAATAAAGCCAGATTCAGAGGACCGGTGTAACCAGATTCATGCTTTTCAAACAGAAAACGATGTGACTGCTGCAGACTGCTGCGTCTGGTTATCTTTGCTCCCTGGAAGTTTCACGTGTGTGCTGGATGTCAAAATGCTGATTGTTCAACTTTGGGGAAGTTAATGAAGTTATGAGTGAAGACCAGTGGACTGGTACTGCTCAGCAGGAAATGAAAGAAGTCCGCAGTGTCTCTCACTGCCTCGCTCTGCATATGCAGCACTCTGAAAAAGTTCTCGCCTCTTCATGATTTATTCTATTTTTGTATATTAGACAAAAATAACCAGAGTAAATACAAAAGCAGTTTCTAAAGGATAATGTCATTTATGAAGAGAAAAGTCTATCCAGACCTTTTTGCTTAGCACTGTTTTGTCTCCCACACAGGCCGTTTTTGCCCACTCTCTTTTTTATTGTTCAATCATGAACTTTGACCTTAACTGAGACAAGTGAGGCCTGCAGTTGTTCAGGTGGATTTCTGGGTCTTTTGTGAGCTCCTGGATGAGTCACTCTTGGGTTGATCTGAAGAGCCAGCATCTCCTGGGAAGCATAGCTTTCTCCATCCATGGATGATGGCTCTCAGTGTGCACAGGAAGGAGTTATGAAGACATTTCTAAGGATTTCCCAAATCCTTAGAAATGTCTTCATAACTCCTTCCTGACTGACAGACGTCAGTGACTTTGTTTCTCAGCTGTTTCTTTAGATTGTGGCACCATGTGCTGCTCTGTTCGATAGTTGGACTGAGCAGGTCTGACTGTGGTTGATTCGTGATGACAGTTACTTTTTCAGAGAGGGGGGAATGGTCTGGATATAGTTTTTTCCAATAAACAATTAAATCATCTTAAAAAAAAATTTTTTTTTAAACTTTGGTTATCTTTGCCCAATATAAAAATTAGTTTAATGATCAGAAACATTTCCGTGTGACAAAGATGCAACAACTAAAATTGGTAAGGGGACAAATTCATGTTCCACAGCACTGTACGCAGACCAGTCGACCGCCTACCACTGGGGGTAGTACATGAATAAAATCACACTAAAACAATGATGTAATCATGAGTAAAATGAACCAGTGGTCATGATGGGACTGAGAGGTCTGAAAATCAAACATGTGCTAAAAATGGTGAGAATGTGGCCAGTAGATTTAAATAAGGTGAGGATTTGGATTTTTCTACTTTGTAATTGCACATGAGAAACACTTTATAATGGATAAGACGAAGAATGTGACCTCTTCAGCCTTCTGACTCATGGATGTCTTACACGAGCTTACTAAGAGCAGTGACAGCGTATTTTTGAAGAGCACACAAACATCCAGGCCTGATGGATACGCAGTGATTACCTGTGGGCGTGGTCTGGCCCAGAAGCGTGTCAGACGCCTGCACGGTGGTTACCATGGTACCAGTGGTGGCATCTGCGATGGTGGCAGGGTAGTAAGTGTACTGTGTCTCAGCGCTGCCATCTCCCTCCAATGCCTCTGACTGTGAGAAGACGGCCTGAACAGTAAAGACAGTAAATATGACTGAAAAATATCCACAGTGACTCACATACACAGTGGCACAGCCATAAAGGCTCCTGTGAAACTGGATCAAAGCACACATCTCTTTTGTGAGCCAGCAGTTTAGCTTTTTAGGACGCTCTAAATGATTCAGGTTTTTTACATCACTGAGCAATGAATCCTGATACAGTTATCTCAGACCCACAGCAGCAGCTCTGAGCACAGAAGCTCCGCCCACCTCCTGCTCAAACCCTCTGCATACAAAGGCCAGCCAATCAGAGAGGGAAGTAAGGGTGCTCGAGCAGCTGGTCTCAGACAGAGGATGACCCTCCACAGGGCGGGTGTTATTAGTATTATTTTGAATTGAATTATGCAGAGCTACCCAGTGACACTCCAGAATAAAACTGTAGATGGAAGTGAACCAAACGGTTTCCTTTAAAGCGACAGGGCGATCGTGGTTCAAGGGGTTGGGACGCTCATCTTGTAACCAGAAAGTTGCCGGTTCGATCCCCAGCTCTGTCTGTCTTGGTCGTTGTGTCCTTAGGCAAGACACTTCACCTACCACCTACTGGTGTTGGCCAGAGGGGCGGATGGCGCTGGGGATAATCGCAATCCATTATTATTAAAGCCTGCAGCCATAAAGTGACCAAGTGCTGCAAATGCTTCAGTTCTCCCCTGTCTGCCTCTGGAGCAGAGCAAGTTAATGTTTTCTGACTTAAGACAGGGAGATGAAAACTAAATACTTTTTTGGAAAAATGTTTAAATAAGTCAGAAACGTTCTGGGAGGCAAGTTGTGTTTTTTTTTAAACTAAATGTAAAAGTGTATGAAGGGAGTTTAGAGTTGGAAATACTAGAATGTAGAGCTGGGCGATAGAACGATAACGATATGTATTGCGAAATAACTTTT